GTCAGTATGTCAAGTTCCCAGTCGGGGGTCAATCCCACGTTTCCAAAGTCCAAACCGAAGCACTCAAAGTCCAAACCGAAGCTGCTCAACGTGGGCAGGTGAGCAGACTGCACCTCTGCTCTGCTGATTGCAGCATCTGGGCTTGAGGCAGATGACCCTCACCTGTTCCAAACCTGCTACTGCTGAGGAATCACACACCTCCTCCCAGAGCTAGCGAGCCTCACCTGGCCAGCTAGGGAGCTGGGCTGTGGGCTTTTGCCTTCCTCAGCCTCATAGAGCACCCTGCCCGCTGCTCCCTAGGCCTCAGATCCCATTGCATTTGTGAAGACAGGGGCCACCCTAGTGATGGGCCCTGCTGCTCTGGTTCTTGTGCACTGACCCTCATCTCCTTGTCATCCTCCACCACCCTGTGAGTACTTTCTACACCAATCTTTCCTTCCCCAGCCCAAGCTTGCCCCAATGTGTCCTAGTCCCAGCTACACCCCTCACAGGGATTCTTTTCCTCCTCTTCCTCCTCACTGTTGTCCTGCCAGTTCATAGCTTAGGGGTGCTCCTGGATCTAGCTCTAGCACTGGACGTTCAGGAAGCCTCTGTGGCTGGGAGTGCCTTCATTTCTAGCTATGGCTCCTCATGGACAGAGATGATGTGGCGACTGCCCTCCATGTTCAGGAAATTGCCATATTGGACTACTGCAATGTGCTCTACATGGAGACTCCAGAAATCCAGCTGTTCTAAAATGCAACAGCCAGGTTACTGGCTGGCATTTCATTTAGAGCTCATATAAGCCCTGATTTTAAAGCACTTGTTGCTGGTTTGTTTCCAGGCCCAGTTCAAGGTGTTTATAGTTGGGTGGAAAGCCCGAAACAACTTAGTGCCCAAATATCTGAAAAACCGCCTCTATCCCTACCAACCCTCTTGGGTGTTGTTAAGAGCAAAGAGGGCCCTTTTGATATTCCACCACCCTCAAGTACAGTGGTCCAGAAAAAATCACAGAGGTGCATCTAGCATATTCATTGTATAGCTTCCATGTCATGCTGAAGATGCACCTCCTTTTAGCCTACACTTTGATAAGTTATGGTATTGTGGGACCCAACTTTTCTGTTTTGGTTAATTTATGCTCTGCTGTTTTTGCTTGAATTAGTTCTGCTTGGTTTTTTTGTATAAACAGCTGGACTTTCATGTGCTTTTTATTGTATAAAAGTATTGCTGCAGCCTGCCCTGGGACCTTGCAGTGGGCACTGGAAAAATCTTACAATTAAAGAAATAAATGAAAGGAGCCAGTTCCCAGCCAGAATTGTGGTGTGGGAGGGCTTCTGTGTCTCATCTCTCAGATGCAGTTGGATGGAATGCTAAGCAGGGCTACTTAAACGTTGTGGAGAGACTTGTGATTAATGGAGAACTTGAATTAGAATATCTTGTCCTATAGAATACAATGGGCATCCCATATTTCATTGGACTTTCTGGCCTTTTTTGACAGGAAAGAGTTTGTGTTTATTTGGCAGCCGAATTGAGTTATAACAGAATCACAAGCCAACTTTTTGAGAAAATGCCCAAGGACATTTGTGTCGCTCGAATCATTAAAATGGGCTTCTTTTGCAGGAAATGTGGGATATAAACTTAATAAAGCAAATAAGTTCAGACTTCCAAATTTACTTCTATCAATATCTCTTTCAAATAGATATTTCTGATCTATTTGTAAATACAGCAGGAAGCCTGCTTTTTTTTTTAAGTGGAAGTTGTCATCTTTGTCTAGGCCGCAAGGTGGTGCTCACTGTCCACAGACAGAAACAGTAATGTTTGGCACGAATGGAATGCTTCTCAAAAATAGGAATATTCAATATTTGCATGCATTTCCTCACAGTTACATTTCAGAATGGCAGGCTTCTTTAGGTAAGAGAGAGAGAGAGGATTTGTAAAGCACTTTGGTAAATTCTTAGCAACCCAAAATTGTGATTGGACAGTTCCCTTAACTTTTTTTTGACGTTCTTGTAATTTGAACTTGACAGTGATGCATCTTACAAGGCTGGCTTACACTGTGTGAATGTTGCCACATGGAATCATTTTTGTCAGCTATCCTTAGCTGACACACCTCTGTCCTGCTCTGTATTGACCACCTTTTTGCTCAGTGCTGTATCTGCAAATGTGCTATTTCAATCCTGTTTTGCATTAGATTAGGCCCCCAAAGAGAGAACTATTGGCATACTGATGTTTGTTCCTTAGGAAACTTTTGCCAAACAGTTCAGTTAATCCTTACTGCATTTCTTTTTCTGCACAGCAGGACGAAATGCAGTATTTTTACCCCTCTTGCAAAAGGCTTTTAAATTAACATACTCTTGGTGAATTGAGTCAGATGTACACTACACACATTGGAATTGTTCACTAGTGAGTCAACAGGGCATTCTACCTTTTCATCAAGCTGTTTATATAAGCAGAAGTATGATCATATTGAATACAGTCATACCTCAGGTTACAGACGCTTCGGGTTGCGCGATTTCGGGTTGTGCACAGTGCCCCGGACCTGGAAGTACTGGAACGGGTTACTTCCTGGTTTCGGCACTTGCACATGCACAAAGCGCTAAATCGCACTTTGTGCATGCGAAGTGCCAAATCGCAACCCGTGTGTGCGCAGATGCGGCGCTGCGGGTTGCGGACGCTGCAGGTTGCAAACGTGCTTCCCGCATGGATCACGTTCGCAACCCGAGCGTCCACTGTATAGTGAAGAGCTTTTCAGAAGCTTGCTCTGGGAGCTGTTCTATATTAGTGACTGAAAGCAAGCCCCACAGATCAGTTAATCTGGAAAATAAAATATTGAGACTGGCTGTTCCCTCAAATTCACTTCCATCTAAATGGTATTTATGAACCATGTTAATGATAGATTATTCCTGATCCATTCTCACAATCTGATACAGGCTTGAGAGTATGTTGCCATCTTTATAACACTTGTACCTTCTTGTAAAGTGTTGGGTTTGTCACACTACAGTGGAATCCGTCTTAACAGCAAAACTAAATTTGATGTAAAATCTGTTGTTTCCGTTGAAATGCTGAGGAATTGTTTGACAGAATCATGCAACTAGCGAAGCCCATAATACAAAAAGGGGTAGATACACAATTTATGTGACAGTTATTGCAGTTTAAGGCAATTATTTGTCATTTAGGTTTAATTAATTCTCTACCGTTCCCTCATTTGTTACGTGCAAACACTAAAACTGACTGGTTGGGAGGAGGCAGCTATGGGTTTAGATTCTGTAGTGTCCGCTGATGCCCAAGCGTTCAAAATTGAAGTTGAAAGTAACTGTGGAAAGTTTTCAGTGTTCTTATTACTTTACTCCTGGGGAGGAGTCAAATACATTAGTGGCATGAATGACACATTGTTCTGCCTATGCCAAAGAGCCCGAATTTGAATATTAAGATGAAATGCCTTGAAAGAAAGAGGAAACAGGACAGTGAGTCATATGGGTTGCTCTTGGGAGCAGCCAAAATACTCTACAGAATAAAACCCTCTGCAAATTAAATTCCAGTTTGCAGATATGCATCCCAGAGCACGTGGAAAGTTCAGATATGCAACTCTAAACTCCTAGCGTTCTGCTGTCGACAGAACTTTGCCTGTTTGGTGAAAGATAAAATCATATTTATCGTATATTTAAGTCTTGAGGTCCTCATTAATTTGACGGAAATAGTGACGGAACACAGGAGGCAGAGAAGATGAGCTCTCTTCCCGCTTAGATTGCTCTGATCCCTTTTGAGAAGGCTGGGCTGCTGATTGGTTGGGGCAGCTTCTGTACTAAACTGATCTGATCTGGCTCCCCCCCCCCGGTCTCTGTGGATAGATTTGATGTCAAGGGCGAGGAAAGACAGCTGCGGCAGACTGTGCGGCGCCACCCACACACCTGTTCTCTTTGGTGAAAGTGTTACAGGCCCCAGGTGAGGCTTCTGCATTTCAGTGTAAGAGTCCCCAGAGCACAGAATACCTAGGCTCACGCCCAGGTGCCAAACAGAAGCATTCTTCAGCAGGACTCTTTCCCCAAAACTTAGTGCAGTCTGCTGCAGATGCTTCTGCTGTGCAGCTTTGCCAAAAGTCAGAAATTAACGTAGTGTGCTGAGAACTGGCTGTTGCTGGTGGTCGAAACTGACCACATCCCATTAATTTCCAACAGGCAGGTACAGTATAGCTGCTACAAACGATTATTTCTGCACTAGAAGGTTGGGGTTGCATGCAGAACAGGAAAAAAGGTGCATAATTTTTTTTGGGTGGGGGGAGCAGGAGAAACCTACACATATTTACGCCGCCAGAATTCCATGTGAATCACTGTATTGCAACATCCTAACTTTGTGCAGGATTGCAGCCTGCCTTAAGGCAGTACTACAAATACAACTCAGTTTCTTTTGCAGGGAGAGGGTGATGCTTAGAGCAGCCAAAGTTTAATCAATAACATGAGGGGTGACTTTCATTTCTCAATAGCTTAGTCATATAGGGAAGCTGCTGCAACTGATTAACTAATACCCTTTGCCTTGAAATATTGCATGGATTTAGGTAAAATTTTCAGTTTAGTGCTACACAACAGCTTCTCCGTTAAAATGTGTTGCAGAAGCTGGGTGGCTGGGGAAATGTAACAGCTCTCTGCTAATCTTAGTTAGGCATAATTATCCAAAAGGGCAAGTTTGCTTGGAGTTGAAGTAGTTCCTGTGCGAAGTTAATGCAAGTCAATCAACCCAGGATGAAGAATAAACAGACCAGAGGAATTTCTCTGGCTAAACTGAATTTGATTTTGCCAGAGCTTAACATCATTCTCTAGGTAATGAACAACTTAAGCAGTTTCTCCTAGAGCGATTTCATAAGCTGATTATCAGACATCTACCATACCTCCTCCCCTCTTTTTTTAAGCAACTTAGGAACATACATTCATTTCACGTACTTTTTTATTGTGTAGGTTTTACAAATACTCCCCCCCCCAAATCACCCCCAGAAAACTGTTGGTCACTATGAATAAAGCAAGCAAACTACTGTTCAATAAACACACATTATTTATTTTGATTTTGTATAAAAAGGTTAAGTTTACAACTAAACTTTTATAAAAAGTTTAGCATGATTACGTACATCATTACACTTTTTGCAGAAATGCACATTTCTGCTACTATACAAGAAAACTCTAATTAAAGAGTTCAAAGTTTCATTCCCATATTTATATATAAATATATACATAGCATTCAGTCCTACGTTTGTGTCAAAAGAGGATAATTTTTGACAAAGACTTCACCGAAAAACTGAACACTAAATCCTTCTAGTACTCACGCTCCACCTTTGGAGGAAAAAAGGCAAAGTCTGCATTTAAAACGGGCAATTCCTTATGAGTTTTTGTTTCGTTTTTTACATTTCATTTTGCTCCCCGTTGTGGGGATATTATATAAATGAAGCCTTCCAACTAGAGAAAGGGCATTTTTAAAAGTCTCTTCATAAATAATTAAGATTAGTCCATGTTGTAGAAGAGGGGAGATGGGTGTCCACAATTTCGCTTAAAATGTCCATTTAACTGGATATGGATTCTCCCCCTCCAGATACAGCTGAAAATCAGATTCAGCAGCTCGCCCAAAAAAAAAGAGGAAAAAAAGAGGCTGTCTTCTTGTGCAAAAAAAAAAAAGTCAGCAAACACCTGCAAAAGATTGAAGAGAGGCATATTTAGAAGAATGCTAACAGGGCAGAGATCCGGACAGACTGGCGCCAGAGAGGAAGCCACAGTTTGAACATTTAACCAAACACTCAAAGATTGGGCAAACCCTGGCGTCCAGATGCAGCATGCGCACACAAACACACACACACTGATACAGACACCACATATGAAATTTAAAGATTGTCTGGGGTTTGAGTATGAAGAGACTCCTGGTAACACCCTCCCCTCTGCCCCCAAATTCTCTATATAATAACTATTTGAATCTCTATTTGCGGTGACAAGAGACACTAACCTACTTCTCTGAGCAATTATCCTTTGATTACAAGTTCTTTAACAAGGAACGATTCTGTATCTCCATGTTGAGTTTCACTGCCCTATTTGCTTAAGCTTTCTGGAGGTTGTCCCTGAATTTACAGCATCCAACGTTTTGGGTACAGAATATGCAGAAGCCAACATGCATTTTATGACTTAAACTGCCACTTCATAGGATCCTCGGTTCTGTGTAATTTTAAGACAGTTCCAAGGGCAATTCTGAACACCCCCCCCCTCCCACATTTCTGATGGGCGACACTGTTAAATCATATACTTAAAAAACAGAAAGAAACCTGAACAACTTACCAATTCCTTTAGCCACAAAGTGCTTTGCTGTCATTTGACATTAACTCTGAGGGGAATTCAGCTGCCTGCAACGGGGGAGGGAAGGGGGAAGACAGTGTGGTGTTAAGATGCTTAACAGTTCAAGAAAGCATATGAAGTACAGATTACAAAAGGCACTAAACGTGACGGGCAAGGATTCCGATTTGACCACAATGGGGGACATTAGAATGGACAAGGAACCCCAACTCATTATGCATTCCCTTTGAATCCAACCACTTTTTTTTTTTTAAATAGAGATCTAAAACCGCGCAGGTTCAGAACAATGTCTCTTTCTCAAATCCTATTAAAGATGCGATACACGAAATCGCCGGGGAGGAAGAAGTAAGCCAAGGACAGGGCGCTTACCTGTAATGACAGGATGCTGATGTCTGTGTTTAAGGTGGTCAGCGGGGTCCTGGAGGAAGGGTTTTGTCCCGGTCTCTGGTGATGGAGGCTGACGATGCTGGGGTGCGTGTCCAGAGCGATCTGCAGGTCTAGAATATAGTCGATAACGTGCTGCAGGATTTCCATCTTGCTGACTTTCTTGTTCTGCGGGATGCTGGGCACCAGCTCTTTGAGCTTGGAGTAGCAGTCGTTCATGTTGTACAGCAAACTCATCGGGTCGTCCACCGGGGTTTTGCTCCGGGATATCCCCAAGCTGTGCTCCGAGAGGCTGTTTTTCCGCACGGACCGCACCGGACTGAACGCTTTCATGCTGGTGGAAAGAAGAGAGCAAGAGAGCCGGCTTTGCCTTTTTGGAGACGAAGCGCAAAAACGCACGCGCCGCGGGGAGGAAATGGCTCTCGCTTCTCTTCTCTACGCGCTGTCTCCTCCTCCGACTCCTGCTCTTTGCAGCTGCCCGATCCGCGCTCGGAATGAAGCCGAAGGCGCCTCGTTCCTGCTTTTATACCGCACGTCCAGAAAGCTGACAAATCCAGGCTGGGCGCGCTGCGATTGGGTACCCTGGACACGTCCGTCAGGCGCGCAGGCACTTCTCACTGGCGCCAAGGCAGCCGAAGAGAAGGCTCGGGCCTTCCGCATTCGCAGCCAATCCTGGCAGAGCGGGGCGGGCCCCGGGCACAGCTGTGGGTAGTAAATAGTGTACAGGCAAGCGCCGAGCCTGGAGTCAAACCGAGACAAGTCCGAGGGAGAGGAAGGCGCGGAAAGGGCTGCTCTTTGCAGCTTGGTTCCCAAGAGGCTGGCCTGAGAAAAGAACGCAAGAAGAGCCCTGCAGGATCAGGCCAACGAGATTCCGTCTAGGGCAGCATCCTGCTCTCACAGTGGCTATGGCTACCCTACTCTTCCTGCGTGTCAACTGGACATAGGATGCATCATATACAGTTGTCACTATGAGTGTAACAAGTTAGTTTTCTTCCATGTACGGGCCACAGAGTTAGTATTATAATATATATATTTTAAAGAACCTGCAAGAGTGGCTTTTAGATGCATTGCCTACCAAAAAGGGAACATACAAGTTCTTTTTATAAGCAAACCAAACAGCAGTGATAGTAACTTCCAGTCTTCTCTGGCAGTCTGTTTCAAGCCTGATTGGCCCAAGACTTGCAATCACAGATTACTTATTTTGAGCAGTTCCCTTGAGATTTATGAGTGTGTGTGTGATCTCACTCACGGTCAGATACTGTAATTATTTGGCTAAAACAACTGAATAGTTTATTTGTGGCTATTTTAGTGAAAAGACATCATTGGATGCTGGAAGCCGAGGCACCGCAGGGGGGGTAACTGTAACCTAGTCAAGCACATCTGTCAAACATGCGAGGCTTAAATGGAACTGTTCCCTCTCTGCCAGCGGTGCAGAAATCCAGAAGTTTTCGAGGCGATGGAGTTGTTTAGTTTCGCAAGTACGCTAGCTAAGCGACGCTATAAATTTCAGAGTGTTAGGCTAACGTGCATATGTAGCACCCGTAGACATATATTGTTCATGTAAGACTCCTGCTTGTGCCCCTTTAATGTATACATGGCATTTAAAGAGATATAAATGAATCACAGGACAAATATGAATGCCTTACTTCATTTGGATGAAGCTTTTCTTGAAGATAACTATGGCAGAAGCCTGCTCGAAACAAATCACTACACCATATAGATCATTATACTTAATTATGACATGGGGGGTTGTCACTGAAAATAAATATACCTGCTGTAAACATTAGATTCAGGGGTGCATGGGTGGTTTTGAGGTTCTTTGCAATATCTATGCTGCCTATAATGCAGTATGTGTGTATACACACACACACACAATATATATATATGTACCTTGAAATTAGCATTGAGGGAGATTACTTGTGCAGGTAAGAGCAGACATTGGCACCTCTGCCTTTTGACCTCTCTGGGCTACTGGAAGGTCTTCAGGTTTTGCTATCCCTCATGTTCCTCTCTCCCACTTTTTTGCCTTTCGATCCAGCTCATAATTTCTGAGCGACTGTGAGTACAGGTGGTGCCCCTCCCCTATATATCTTTTTTTTTTTTTAAAAAAGGTGTGGATTGTTACCTCCCAGTGACATTTCCTCATGTGGCGTTATTGTTTGTAAACATTCTTTTCCCACCCTGCAAGGGAAATAAAATTGCACTCCATGCAAGTGGCTGTAATCACCGAGTGCCAGCTTACATGTTCTTGGAAAGGAACATAAGAGGGTAAAGGGCAGTAGCTGCTTTCACGAACCAACCAAGATATGACCCTGGACTTGTTCTCACTCAACCCATTTGCCACTTCTCCCTCCTCCCCAAGGTATGTGGCTTCTCTGCCACAAGACTGCACTTACATTCCTAATCAGGGTACCTGGCTTCAGAGCATGGGCGTGGCCAGGTGGACAGGCTTTTTGTTGGGGGGGGCAGAACTGAGTTATCTGCAACACAATTGGCCAATGATTAAGTATTTTTATTTATTTACTTGATTTAGGGGGGCACCTGCCCCCCCCGTCTATGCCTATGATGCCGAGTTATAGCACAGGTTCAGTGTTTAGCATCCCCATCCAAGGCTGAAAACCATGGAGGATGGCTGCCAGTAGACAATGCAGGACTAGGTGGACTAAGGAACTGACCTGGTAGTGTTTCCTGTGTACTTCGCCACTCATTTAATTGAAGATTTACTATGCCTTGTGCTAAAGAAAAGATTAATTGACCCTGTAATGCTACGCAGATAATACGGAAGTTCTACCGAAGAGTTCTCAGTAACGAAGCACAGGGCTGCACTTTAAAACTGCAATCCAGCTGTTAGGCTACTTAAATCCAGTGGAAGGGCCATGATCCATGCAGCATGACCCCTAAGTATGCTTACTCAGAAGTAAATGAGCTCAGTGAGAGTTGCTACTTAACAGGAGTGCCTTTCAGACTTCAGCCTTAAGCAACATGCAAGATCGCAGCCGTATCTTTTAGCCACAAAATAATGTTCATGACAATTTTATTTCTTAAATACGTATGATGGCTAGTAAAAAAACACACCAAAACACGATTTTGCCCCCAATTGACCCACAATATTTCCTTATCATTAGCTGATTTCTTAGCCTATGTTTGAGGTCTTCTGAGATACATTTTTCTGGCTATGTCAGACTTCATCACTTCATGTTTTTATTTCAGATGAGACTGTATGCAAATTGAACAGACATTTATCACTGGTTTGTTACTGTATGCTCAAGGAAAAAAATAATAACCAAGAACATCCATAGGTAGGGAAAGATAAAAAAACAACAGGTAGGCTGGCAGGATATACTGCAGTCACTTTGAAATACAGAGGAAAGCATCTTAAACAGAAGGCCAAAACCATTGTTAAAGCCATACTAATTTGGCACATGACATTTATGATGCTTAAATCTCTTCCACTGATGCTTAAATCTCTTCCACTGAAATCAGTGCTAGAGAAGAACTTAATTGTGGATGGACACTCTTTGATAAAAATTACATTAGTATACATTTACCACTTCCACTACCAAATGTACACAATTACTATTGTATTAACCTTTGTAAGCAATTCATTGCTATAAATACTTTTGAAGTGTTGCTGTGCTTGAGGCGAACCATGGGCTATGTTATCTTCTCGAGCATTTTCTTTTCCGTTGGAAGCCACTTTAATATCCAATTGTATTTTATTGAGAAACTGTGCACTAGTGTTCTCCAGAAACTAAGCTGTCACATGCATGCTTATTCAGAAGTCGTGGTGTATTCAGAGGGGTTTATTCTCATTGCAACCTAAATCTAAACTAGATTGTACAGCTCTGCAAGCCTATTTGCATTCCAGTGCTCCGGTTCAGTGCTCGATTGTTTCTACCTCATCAAGCTAGGTTGGGTACAATCCTAGCCATAGGTCTGCTGGGATGAGTTAAGATGCAGTGGATATTTGGCTCAGCATACTAAATCCCAGCTCAGCTGGGCTATGCTGGCAGCAAGTCCCCAACCCCAGCTCAGTTGGAGATATGCCAGCCTCAAGTCAACTGAGCTGAGACCAGTGAAACTTCTGCTGGAGTAAGCTCTGAAAAATGGCCGTTCCAGGAGAGTGGGATCGTGCCGGACTTTTTAAAGCTGTATCCTAACTCCGTTCAGCTTGGTCATGTGGCGTGGCAACCTGCCAGAATTTAGGAGCCTGGCAAAAAGTGTGGTGTAAGTCAAACTCTGTTAAAGGCTTGTTTTCCTCTGCCCGGTTTAGGCCAGCTCAAATGGCAATAGCCCTGCTCTGGATCAGATCCGGTGTAGTCTGCACTAGCTTAATTTTTAAGCCAGAGTTATTCATGCTGGCTTCCCATACTCAGGAGACTGCTTCCTTATTTGCAAATGTCGTCCTTACGGCACAACAGATGGAAAAAGCCCCCAAATCCTTGTGTGGTGTCCTGAAGACTAAAATCAGTGCATTCTGAGAACCTCCTCTTTAGGGCTCTGAAACGTATTGCAAGCTGGAAAAAGAAAAGTCCTTTCTAATAATGGCTTCAGAGTTAAATTGGTTGGGAATTCAAACAGTTTGTTTAGGGCCTGATGTAGAAGCTGCCTATCCAAGTGGCAGAGCCTGGCAGCCTTTCCCCTCTCAGATCTTCTTCTGTTGCAGGAAAGAGAACAGTCCGCTTGAGGAAAAAGTGCTTGCACCACCTTTGAGGGTGAGGACGAGGCGTGGGAGCCGTCTATGTATGCAGTGGGTGCCCATCTTCCTCTTTCACCAGGGCGTGAGGAGAGTGAGACCATGACTCTTAACCTCGGGGTCGCGGGTTCACGCAGGCAAAGAGATCCCAGCCTAGCAGGGGGTTGGTACATAGCTGTCAACTTTTCCCTTTTCTTGCGAGGAATCCTATTCGGAATAAGGGAATTCCCCTTTGAAAAAAGGGAAACGTTGACAGCTATGGGTTGGTATAGATGACTCTTGGGGTGCCTTCCAACTCTAATACCCGCCTCTGGTTCCTTTTACAGGGAAGCGGCGGAGGGAGGTACACAATTGGAGGGGGGTGAGGTGGTGAGAAAAAAGAGAGGCTGATTCTCCTGTTTCTTGCAAGGGGGGGGGCGAGGGCTAAGTGTGCAAAGAATCTCGCTTAGGAGCTCCTGCGCCCCAAAAAAGGGGTGGCGGGGGAAAGCCCCTCAGCCCGGCCTCTCTCTTCACGACCACTTCCTTTCACCCCCCCATAAGTGAGCAATAAAAAGGACGCCCCGCCCCTCCCTCCCCCCCCCAAATCCCAGCCTCCTGCACCTGGGCTGGCACGGGCAGCAAGCGGCGGCTGCAGAGGGGGCTTCCCCCGAGCGCCGCCGTGCGCGCCCCAGCCGAGCGCCTCCTTCCTCCTGCTGCTCCCTTCCCGCTCCTCCGGGCAGGCCTCCCACCGCCTGCCTGCCTGCCTTCCCTCCCTCCCTCCTTCCCACCCAGAGGCCGGGCCCGACTCGGCGGCGCCAGCCCCGTGACGTCGCTCCCCCGCTGCCTGCCCTCCCTCC